GGAGATCATTTTTATTAAGTATATGATTTTATTAGATGCTAAAATGGTTACTGATCCATATCAGGGTACTTTTACATTTTAGCATGATGAGCTATTTCATGGAATAGACTTCGGAGATCATTTTTATTAAGTATATGATTTTATTAGATGCTAAAATGGTTACTGATCCATATCAGGATACTTTTACATTTTAGCATGATGAGCCATTTCGTGGAATAGACTTCGGTAGCTTCTTCCATAATGGCAGCATAATTTGTAGCATGGAATATGGTTGCGGAAATTTGTCACGAGGCTACACATTATTGGTATTGAAAGACCACTAAAGTTGTGATAATAAGTCAGCGATGTTATATTCCAATAATAGAAGTTCTATTAAGTCAAAACATATTGACATCAAGTTTCCTTCTGTTAATACAATAGTGCAAAATGGAAATATATATAGCACATATGAACAAACTCCATAAAATCGGATCCGCTCATAAAGGGATTACCTCCCTAGGTCTTTCATGAGCATACTACACACGTTGGTGTGATATTTGGTTTTAGTGGGAGTTTTATGGTGCTTTATGTGTTGTTTAACAAAAATTATGTTTTTCTGTACAGAATTAAGAATTCGGTTAACTCCATTATTAGTTGCACTTATTTGAAGTTTGATCACACTTCAAGTTAAAAAAAGGAACTCGTTGGAAATCTATTTAGATTTTAAAACCACACATCATATTTAATCTATGTCGTTAGTTATATATGTATATGTGACCGTTTATAGGTTTAGTTACGTAAATTGTAACGAAGACCTCTTTGATCCTATACTATTATAATTTGTGGACGAGATTGTTTAAGGGTACCAATATTATGATAACATTCATTAGAGCGCTTATATAGTTATACGTACATTTATATATTTGTGGTCCTGTGGGAGATTGTTAGATAATTATGGGACCACATCATATATATATATATATATATATATATATATATATATATATATATATATATATATATAATGTTATCATTAAATCAAGTTATTATGGTAAGAATATAAATTGTTAATGGACCGATTTATAGAATATTTACTTACCTTGTGGGTTGAGTTCCCGGTTTGACTCAAGATCCTCAAGATCCTTTCCATCTCTCACATTAGGGTTTATTTCCATCTATAAATACATGTGATGAGCAAATCAAGACACACGAATTACATAAAAAAATTCGTGAGTCTCATTGCCGAGGGTTCTTAGAGGTGGTCTTGAGATCAACTGAAAAACTCATCCTAGTCTTCATATCCGGAAATCATAATGAATTAGGTAGGTAATCGTTCTTTAACGTTTAAAGTTTTCTTTTGACAGATTCGAGATTAAGATCTAAAGCTTCCGCATTTTATGTTTTTTGTTATGAAAAAAACCAACAACTTCTAGATGAAAACTATGAACCAAGAAAATTAAAACCCGGAGAGATCGACCCAAACCCAGAATCAAATCCCGCTCGACCCGACCCAGTTGACATGGATGAAGATGAAAAACAAATGCTTTCAGAGGCACGGGCTCGTTTATCTAATACAAAAGGCAAAAAGGCCAAAAGGAAGGCCCGGGAAAAGCAACTTGCAGAAGTTAGACGTGTTGCTTCTTTGCAAAAGAGGAGAGAATTGAAGGTAGCTGGAATTGATAACCGGAATTGGAATGGGAAAAGGAATGGAATCGACTACAATGCTGAGATTCCATTCGAGAGAAGGCCGCCACCTGGATTTTATGATGTGGTTGGTGAAAGTTTGTTGATTGGTGAACAACCTTATAAATTCCCGACCACGATTGAGGAAATTGAAGGTGAAAGAAGGGTCGATACAGAGGCGTGTTTGAGAAAACAGGGCATTGAAAGGAACAAAATAGCACAAAGGAAAGATGCTCCATCAACTATACTTTATGCAAACAAACTCAATGATTTGGAATCCGTTAGAAAAAGGCCGAAAATCAATCTTGCGACACCACGAATTTCAGATTATGAGTTACATTATATCGCAACATTCGGTCTTCAATATTTGAGCCATGGATTTTCATCTTTTTAATTGTAATTTCTCATGATTATGATTACAAGTTCATACTGTAATTAGCGATTGTTGCGAATGCTTTGCACATATTGGAAGGGGATAATATGATTATGCATATGATTATGTAGGCAGTTTTATTAAATCCAAAGGTTTTAATTTGTTATAAATCCATGATATGAGCCTAGTTTCACATGATGGTTAAGCTTCGTACTTCTTTTGCTTTTAAGAACATTTATTGGACAAATTTAATCGGTGATCAATGATCATATGTAACGGCTTTTTAATAATGCTTTATCATCTTTCCTAGTAAATGTCACCCTCTCAAATCATGAGGAGCATTTTTTATTTCTCACTTATTTTCATATTAATAACTAGGGAAGAACCCTGCTTTGCGGGGTTAGATACGTCAAAGAAATGGACAAAACAGGAAGATTTTATTGAGGTACATTCAATCAAAATCCTTGATTGTAATGCTAAGTCTCCAGTTTTTTTTTGCTGTAAAACCAATATGGTTTGTTTTCTTGTCCTTAATGAACCACAATTAAGCTAAAATTTGATAAATGAACATTTTGAACGAAGGTTTATAAAAGTTCAGCTCATAATCATATACAGAAAGAAGCCACATTTACTAAATCAACATTTGTATGTATCCTTTACAGTTCGTGTTTCATCTTCTATACATCTTGTGGACCTTTGAGATAACTTTTAATCCCAAAAGTAGTGTTGAATTTTTTGACTTCTTCGATTTCAATTTTGTCAAAAGTCTTCAGACCGAAGTAGCAATGCATTATATCCAAGATTTTAGTCCACTGAGAGAAAATTAAGACCTGTTGTTCACAAAAGTTAAACATCATTAATTACAATTTACAAACAAAATCATCATCTCAACTAATAATGTCTTCGTAATTTAGATATTTAACAGAAGTTTGCATCTTTTTTAAAGTAACACAACCTATAATAAGCAGATCAATTGAGAAATGTTCATCTTACCACCATCACAAATATAATTCCACTCACACTCATCTATCTTGAAGTAAATGGTGTCTCAATGTATCCTTTATTCACAAACAGAGTTCAATCTTATTTTCCAAAAAATGGAAATGCTACGTTTACAAAAAATTAATAAAATGATGGTATATTTTAAAAGAAATGTAATTGCGCGCTGCTGTATTTGTGTGTACTTTAAAGAAATATGAAAGTCAAGCATGAAAAAAAAAAATCTAAAGTATGACCTATGGAACTTATACCACTTGTCATTTTTAAACTTATACCACTTGTCATTTTTATCTACTCAGTACAACTTATGATGATAATGCCATAATTAAAATCAAGTTACAACATCAGTTATTTACATAACAAAAATCAAGTTTCAAAAACTCTGAAAATTTGAAATCATAATATAAAAAAAGGAAAATTATTTTACATACATACCTTGTTACTGTTTATCATTACTGCCATTTTTCTTGGCAAAAGGTTCACTCGTATATTTTAGTTCAACCATAAACACTACAACCAAGCAATTCAGTTATTCATGGTGAGAACCTTTGGAAAATAGAAACCGAAACTATATTCTCCTGTATCGATTATTTTGCAATGATAGGATAGAATTAATTGGGGAAAATAGTAAACAAATTGATTATAATAGATATTGGAAAAGTCAATGTATACATTCGGACAATAAACCTGTCAGTAGCTCTACCTCGCAAAAACCTGATAGGCTTAAAATGATGAGGTCATGACATTTCACCATCTCGAGAGATCTACAAAACAATAAAACGGTTTAAAAGTTATGACCGATGACCTTTGTTATGCCGCGGCTCGGACTTCTACCCTTATGGTTGTTGCCGCCGACCGGGTTTGCCGCGCCAGCATGAATGAAAAACAGTTGAAAACTTTGCAAGGTGTCATGGAAAGCATAAAGGAGGAACTCCGTGATTCAGAGGCTGAGCGCCGAGTCCTTTCGGAGCAGAATTGTAGTGTGGCCTACGAGAAGGCCGCTTTGGAAGATCATGTGGCCACTTTGGAGGACCAAACAGAGCGACTCGAAAGCCAAGTGAGTTCTCTTACTCGGGAGAAGGGTGTGCTAGCGAGTGAGTTGGCCAGGTGCCAACGCCAACTGGCCCGTGCTCATGTTGATGGTGTTGTCGCCCGAGGTGATTTGCAATGGATGCTGGAGAAGGGGGTGGTTCGCCTAATTAATAAAGTTATCGAAAGCGCGAAATTTTCCAGCGGGATCCAGGGTGTTCGTGAGGCGTGTGAAGCCCTTGGGTTTGAAAAGGGGAAGCAACTAGGTGGTTGTTCCTAAATTTCCGGTGAACCTGAAGTCCCGGATCCTGGCCGTATCGCGAAAAGGACCGAAGAGGTGGATACTGCTCTATCGTCCCTTGCTAAGACGGATTTTACGGGCCTCTTTTGCTTAGGGGTGCTAGATTATGACAGCTTCTGCCAATTTTGTCACAGGCCGAGTCCGAGAGGTTCTTCCTCAGACTCTGAGGACTGATTTGTGTTTGTCCCTTCTATTCGTTTTGTAATGTAGTTGCCTTTCTATGTATCATGTGTATAGTGGAAAACACTGGTTGTTAATAACCATGAACTGTGCGTTTTGCTTTGTATTTGGCATGGAAGTGTTCTCTTCCTTTTTTTGTTTTATATGTATACACATATTTTGAATTGTCCTGTGGTATCTTTAAGGATGGGCTATTCGACGTTTCTACTGTAACTCTTTTCTGCACTCCCCTTTGTTCTAGGGTTCGTATTAATCGGTTAATGTGTGCCTCAAACGTCGTATAACCGCTACTACTGACTTATATTTCACTGATTTGTATGTTGTAACCAGGCTTTTTTATGTTAAGTCAAGAAACGTTGGTCGATTTTCTGGACCATATTTTGAGGTTTAGCTACCTTTATGCTGGCCGAGATCGTCACCTTAAGGCCTTGCACTGCTCAATTGTCAGGGGAAAGGTTATAAATCTTTTAGAACCCTTTTATCTGTGCCATTAATTAGGATTTATACATTCTCAGCTCTGAGATGTTATTGTCACATTGTAGGTAAAGATTATGACTCTTTTAAGACCTACGGTTGCATCCTTGCATAGATTTTTCTCAAGTAGCGTAGATGATAAGTCGTTGTTGCTACTTGGAAAATATGCACAACCTCTATACTTTGTATTTTTGCAAACAAAATTCTGGAAGGCTCTTTCAAAATGCAAGTTATATTATTTCCAGAAAGAAAAAGAAAGACATGAAACAATAGACCCTGAATGTCTACGTATCAGGGCGTATGCCCGGTCTTCGCTTCGACACCTGGAGTATGGTTATCCTGTGTGGAATTTGACTATACTCCTTTTCCTAATCCTGCGCTTTATTTTTGATTGGGTGCTCTGCTATCGCTACCATGTTGCGGCTATGTATCTTTTCCTCATATGCTGAAAGTGCTTCTTGATAGGTTGGGGTTTCTTCTTGTTTCCACCATCGGTGCCCAGCGTGAGAGAGCTGAATTTCGCTGTTCATGCTCTGGAGGTGTGTGGACTTTCCCTTATTCTCGACACAGCGCATGATGCAACCGTGAGAAACGCCTCCCCGCGACCTAATGAGAGTACCACCCGCGCTTTCTTACGCGCCTATCAACCTTGTGTTCTACACTGTCGCTTGGGGTCTCGTTTAGCTCGTTAGAGGCCCTTGTCAGTTTTCTTTTGTAGCAAGGCTTGCGTGTTAAAATGAGTGGCACTCTACGTCTATTTTTGTTGCACCTGGTGCCTATCTCCTACATTCCACAGAATTTTGGTTCATGCTTGGCATCGGCCAACATCTGCTTCGAGTCCCAAATCGCTCCGTGGCTGGGCATGGCTCGGCCATCAATTGCGGGCCATGCTGGTGCCCTTACCCGCCGGTAGACGCTCCTTTGCTTTGCGATTTTTGCTTCATGCTCTGGCTGAGCCATCCTTAGGTCAGCGCTTGTTCCTTTCTGTAGGAGATATGTTGTGAGCCGTCTGAACACATTTCTTTGCCTTTTTCTGGATTTGTGGACCAACGCTCGTGCTATTGCAGTTCTCCGCTGTGGATCTTCCACCTTCTGGCAACTTTCACTTCGACGCAATTGAGTTTGTTGCTTTGTTTCTCGTTGAGCACCGTGTCCGTTATCTGGCTTGGTTACCAGTACCATGGTTGACCCGTAACTCGTACTGAATTTGAGAATACCGTGGAGAGTAGACGGAATTGCTTATAGCTGGAAAAGTGTTGGCCGGCCTAGTAAAATATTGTGTTCAGTCGGTCCATCAACGACCGAGAATTCGAGCACCCTTGTTATGTGTGTTACCCCATCGTGACCGATCAATGTAAACGGGAGCTTGACTGTTCATGTTGGCCAGATGTCGTGACCGGTGAACCCAACTAGCGGGCCTTGGCGTGGTGGTTGGAGGAGCTCTTTCCATTCAATTGGTAACCGTCGGAGGTAGTGTTCGTAGATCATGTTGACCCTACTTCCGTTATCGATGTACACTTGTTCAACACGGTTTTGGCGAATGAAGCCGGTGATGTACAATGGGTCATTTGGATCCCAGTGTTCTGGCATGGGGTCATTCATTGAAAATGTTATGTTGAGTATGTTTTGATGGTATACCTTCATGCCCACGTGTTGGCTCTGGCGATTGCTGCATGGGTGGGGCGCAGTGATGGTAAGTATCTCTGCCCTCCGGTCATGGTCCTTTCCCCATCCTTTTGATTTTTAGGCTAGTGTTTGTCCTCGTCAAATTTTGCCCTGAGCTCTTTGGCTATGTCAACTATGTTTCCGACTAGTTTTTTTTCATCGATCTCCCGCTTCAATACCGTGCACTCGCTGGTATCGTGAGTTTTGCTTTTATGATATTCATAGAACTTGGTCTTGTCCTTGCTCTCCTTTGCTGGAGTTTTGTTGATTGCATGAACATCATTATGACCACTCCTGTTGTCATCTCTGTTGAACGGTTGATACCTCCGTGACATGTGCCTGGAGTGGCGATTATGCCTCTGTTGGTTGCCAT